GGCGGGAGTGCTGCCACGCTCCCAAGCGGCGCACTGTAGCAGTGCACCACCGGGCCGGCCCATATTTTTTANGAGCGCCGCCGCGCTCCCAAGCGGCGCACTGTAGCAGTGCGCCACCGGGCCGGCCCATATTTTTTTAAGAATTTTGACAGTAGTTTGTGTATAGATAGAGGCTGTTAGCTACCAGTGAATCTTTGTGTATTCATTTGTTAAAACTGGTTCACACTAACTTGAAGATATAATTATAAAATAATAGTGAGTTTTTATTTTTGTAAAACACACATACCCCTTTTATAAAGAAAGGTAAGTTTGGGTTTTCACCGTGAGTTGATGTTTGACCTTATTTGAGGGAAGCTGTTAGTTCTTGAAACTTCCTGGCATACAGTCCATATCTCAGTCCCAAGATTTTGTTCACATTTCTTCTTGAGATCACCCATCCTATTCATCAGTCTTGACTTCAGACTTATGACTATTTTAAATATTACATTTATTCTCAAAAGAAGTTTGAGAAAATTAAAATAGAACTGTTCCATGCCCCAAAATGATTCTAGAATGGGGCTTTCAGAGGCATTTTTGAGCAGTGACAACATTGTGGGAATAAGTGTCTAGCCCCTTAGAGTGACCAGTAGTTAGAAGTCAGTTATAGTATGTGTGCTTAGGCTCAGAAACTTCATTAGTGCCAGGGTTTTTTGTTTTTTCTTTTTCCTCAAAACTGTATGTTACATATATGTGTTTTATAGAGAGGAACTTGAACTATTTTTATCTAGAAATGTCTTTGCTTAGACATGTTTTAGCTATCCCAATATAAATATCAGCAGCACAGTAATGACAGAGAAATATTTAATTCATTCTTTAGCTGAGCACCGAAGTCTTTATTTTATCTATAGAGCACTTTAGATGCTCTTCAGTAGACATTGTCCTGTGATAACAAGAACAATTGTTAGATATAGTGAGAGGGATTTTATTTTGCATCTGGTCAAAATGGACTATCTGTATATTGTGTTGGGGTGGGGACAAGTAAGCTTTGACCCTGCAGCTGAGCAGTTGCTCTTAGTTTATGACCTCAATGCCGTGGAATGATGGAGAGGTTACTGCCTGAGGGCTGTTAGTAATGCCAAGTGAAATAAATGAAGGAAAAACCCTGGAGACAGAAGAGGGGCACAGGTGCATTGTGGGAGCTGGGGAGAGAGCCAGGGGCTTCTGGTCATTGCACGGTCACTGAATACACTCATAGCAAGGCCTTTTCTCCATCTCTCAGATCCATATAGATTTCCCCCTGGGCTAGGGAATGTCTCTGATTGGAAGACAGCAACTGTACTTTTCAGGATCCCTTTCCACAGGAATGAGAACCGCCCTACATCCAGCATCTAGCTGCTAAGATTCCACGTGCTCTTCCAGCTCAGAGTCATTGCCTCAGCGCTGCTGCTAACATTTTGCCTCTCCCCTAAACAGGGACTCTCCCTCAGGCTGGTGGGTTTCCACTTGCCAGCATTGAGCAGCAAACAGCTAGTACAATGTGCATCCTCATTTTGCAGCTGGAGTCCTCTTTAAGAAATTATCTGACTCATTTGGGTCAAATAATAGTTTCCAAGGAGATTTAGAAGAGAGGAAGTGTGATATTAACCTAACCTAGATACCAAATATTTTTTTCCCTCTAAAATTTCTTGACAGCTGTTGCGTAACTTCTTTAAGTGACATTTAAAACTCTTATGTTACCCTGTGCCTCAGAAGGCATTGTTGACACTGTTGACTGTAAACCCAAATGATTTGTTTAAAAATAGTTATTTGGACTGGCTTTGCTTCCATCAAAGAACTGGAAGTGGGATATGCATTTTTGCATCGGTATGTAACCATATGGGAAGCGATGTGCTGTTTCTCTAAACCCATGGTTATTTTTACCTACTTTGGGGATTAGGCTAGCTTTTCTGCCATAGATGCAAGACTTCAAGAATGTCCCAGTTTGTTTATGTAGGCTTTGGACATGTCAGCATTCCTGCATCATTATCTGCCTGGGCCAGGCTAGCTGAAGGAGACAGGAAGAGAGATCTGGTAAGGATTCCTGTTATGTTAATAGTATGTCTAACTCTTTGTTGTTGAAGGGCTTCCTTGTTTTGGCTGTCTGCACTCTGGTGAAGAGGGGAAGGGGTCTGGAGAAGGGAAACCAAGTTTTTCTGTCCAACCGGAAATAGAATAATTAGTTTTCCCCATATTTTGGAGGTGGGAGGTGAGCTGTCCCTGGCATATCACTAACTGTAATGATAGTCAGCCCTGAAAAGCATGGCTAATAAAAATCCGCTGAGAGAGAATCCTCAAACTCACCAAATCTTTATCAGAGCTGTAAAACAGTAGTGAAGTGGACTGTTTGGCTGTTAAATTCTAAACTTTTGTTAAACTTTCTGGCAGAAATAGTCAAGGGATAGGCAAAATTGACTGGCTAACAGAGAGCAAGATAAGAGAAAAAAGTATGTGTTTGGTCATAGGTAAAATGGAGAGTCAGTCCCCGAGTAATGGCACTGGTCATTTTGCAGGAATGATCAGTGCACAGGTTGGATGGATAGAAAACATTATATACAGTCTTTTTCCAGCAGTTTTAGGGTCAACCTCTGTCATTTTATTGTGAGATATACGACAAAAGTGAATGGTGGGCAACAAGGAATCTCCCATGCCTTAAAAGGAAACATGTGAACATGTAAGGGCTAGATCTGACTTGCCCGCTCCCTTTCCTCCTCTTGATATGGCTACAGTCCAGAGGAGTTCGAATTGACCAGACAGAATATAAATGGGTGTCTCTTCCATGGAAATGGAAACTAGCGAAAGACAAAATTGGGATTAAGCTTCCTTATCCTTCTGACTGTGAATGTAGATAAGTGGAAAGGAGTGGCAGGGGCAGAGAGTTTGTCAAAGGGCAGTGAAGGGGAGTACAAATCCACTTGGCTGGCTTGTTTCCACCAGCATAATTCAATCTTTGATATAGAGAATAGTG